ATCTATGCATCACACATATGAACTAATTAAAATTGTAAATTGATTAACTTAAATTGTAATTGAGAGAGTTAATCAAATTACTTTTACTCAAGTAATTTGTATTATTGAGAGGTGGTAAAAGTGGGTGGAGGTAAAAAGTTACCTTGAGTTTTTTTGTTCTTATGATTAGATGAGGATGAAGATGAAGATGAAGAAGATGAAGATAATCATGAAGATAAGTAAGTAAATTTATTCAGCCATCATATGAATGACAATCAGAATCAAGGTGGAATCAGAATCACCATGTTTGAAGGTGTAATTTTTTTGGAGAGGAAAAAAGAAAGGAAAAGTAATCAAGGAGAAATATTTTTTTCTCTTTTCCTTTTCCTCTTCCTTAATCATCATCATCATCATCATCATCATTTTCATCCTCTGCCACCTTCATCTCCTCCTCTTCATCATATTTGTTATCAATTCCAATGTATTTTTCTCAGTCTGCATGATAATATCATGATAAAAAGAGGTAAGTGTTTTGGTCAATTGAACGATTCTAGTGGTTCATTTGTTTTGGAATAATTTTTTTACATCTAACTGTACTTCTAGGTTAAAGTAGCCAGTAAATGGACAAGAGTGGGAGGAGAAGAGAAAGAGAGAGATGATAAAATGGGTGGAGAATAATCATCATCATGTTTGGAAGATGGAAAATAATGAATCAGATGAATCGAAGCTGTTTCCTTTTTTCGAGATTGATTATGATACATAACAAGTTCTGGTCTTTTTGTTGTTATTTGTTTCTCAGTCCACAAAACCTTCATCTTCCCATAGCTGATAATCAACAACATGGAAGTCAAAGTTATCATGATGACGATATTTATTGGTCTGTAATATGTTATCATGAAAATAATAACATGAAAATGGGTGAGAAGAGTCTGAATTATTAAGCAATTGTTGGGTTAAAGGTAAACATTTTTGTGGCTTTTTCATCATCATTTTGATTGCCAACGATTAATGTTCAACAATCAATGTCAATCGAGGTGGAAAAGTGAGATAAAATATGACCGAATGTTCAGATTCCCATGAAATGAATGAAACAGTTTCCATTCCATATCATGTAGATATTTACTGATAGAAAGAAAAAAAAGTTCTGAATTCTTTCATTGAAAATATTCCCCAAAAAATATTATTCGGTGTGTTGATCAAACGAAGCAACAATTTAAAATATGTTACAATTTACTAACAATTGAACTAGAGTTAAATTGACAATCAACATTTGGAAACAAAAAAGCTTCAGACTCTATTGTAAGTAGATACTTTGAATTCAATGAGCATCATCAAGTATCATCAACATGATGTAGTTCCGAGAAAGCATCATGATGATGATCACCATGAACATCAGTTGTTATGATCTCTGTAAGATGAATTTCAACAAAGTGGAAGAGAAAAAAACTCCATTGGTTTTAACAGGATAAACATGATAAAAAAAACTACACTAACATACATATGAGAAAGGGAAAAGTTTCCAGAGTCTTATCTGAATCAGAACATGAACTTTTTTCTTACCATCATGATGATTTTTTGCTCTCCCTGTTTGTCAGATAAATGGATAACATGAAATTGAATGGGTTATGAATGAAGATCATGACGAGAATGATGAAAAGGATGAGGAAATGATGATGATAACAGTTACCATGGTTAAAGGTGATAACTTAAATTTAACTTAATCTTTGTGATTAGTTTTGGTTCTGAGTAAAAACAAAAACTTCAACTTATTTTTTTTTTGTTCATCATGAAACTGAATTAATTTAATTACTGCCTTTGCATAATTAATATAAACAGATTAATCTTAATGTAAACAAAGTTGATTGTTGTTAATAATAGTTGAAGATGATTATAATTCATTAGACTTAATCAGTGAGAAAATTTTTTAATCACTTTTCCTGTAAATTAATTACCCAAAGTAATGAAACAGAAACAAAAAATCATCAACAATTTATATCAATGGTTAAGATTGAAAAGTTTTTAAATTAACTTTTTGTAATTGATTTAAATTCAACAGGTAAATATGTATGGTTGGTTAACGATTTAAACTCATCTGAATGATTTTGATTAAATTGATCAACTATGATTGTGATTTAAATTCAATTGCCTTCAGGCGGTCTTTCAATTGTTTTCTCATGATCAAAATGATTCCAACATGATAATATTATCAATTCTTGAAGATTTACCTGTTCAAAGGTAAACCTTTTTGTTGTTGATTGTCAGTTGAAAACCTCGGTATCTAACAAAATGGTTAAGAAAGATGTCAAATAAGATGGGAAACAAATGATGATGAAGATGAAGATGAGGATGAGGATGAAGATGATCAGCCAACCATTGAACTGTATCATCAAAGGTAAAAGATGTAACAGTTGATGTATTAATAGTTTGTGAAAATTTTCTGGCGAAAAACTAAAAAATTATTAATAAAAATAAAACTTCCGGATTCTAAAGGGATGATAATCACAATGAGACAATTTACTAATCATGTATTTACTATTTGAAACACTAATTACTTATCGCAACAATTAGCTGACAATTTAAATTGACTGGATTAACTTAATTGTTCAACATGAATCCACTTCTAATTGTAATAGTTGTTGATTCTGTTATTCGTGATCATTGTTTTTGCTCCTTCATCTTTGTCATCCTTAAATTATTAACATGAATATGATAATATTAATACAATTGCATGATAATTATGATGAGTCAATGATTATGATTATTATTATGACGATGATGATGATCAATTGATTGTAATTGTCAGAGTCAATGATTAGCTAAATTGAGATCTAAACTTATTCTAGCAAGAAGAGTAACTTTCTGATCTAAATTGATGTTGATTGGATTAGAACTTTTTTTGCTCTCTTTTTTTACTTCAATGATAATAGAGACAAAAATGGAGCAAAATTATTGCCAAAGATGGCTGAAAATGATGATCATCATCATAATCATCATCATCATCATCTTCATCTTCCTCTTTGATTGTTTTTGTTGTAGCAAATCCATTGGGTTTGATGTCAAATCATTTCAACAAGATCATCAATTGACAACTTTTGCCTCCATCATTTTGTCCTGCTTTCTGTCAACATAAAATTGGCTATTTCAATCATTATCATCATTAATTTCATCCTCATCTTCATGGTGAATCGCCATTTTATCATCATGATTATCTGCAGTCTAATGAATCTTATTGTTTTCCACTGTATTTAAATCATTTCCAAGATGAGAATAGATTAAGTTACTTATTCCTGTTATCATATTATTGGTTTCCATTTAAAATGAATAAGGGTGAAAAAGTGGATGATAATGATGATAATACAAGTGATGAAGGAAAGGATGACAAAATGATGATAAAAGTAAAAGCGTTTCCATTGAATTGTAACTTAATTTCCAGTGGCTCTATTAGGATAGTTTTTTGCTCGGTTAAATAATCATCTTCAACTATTATCATCATCATTATTATGATGATCATCATTGTTTTTAAATGGATTTAGTGAGAGAGAGAGAGGGAGACAGACAAATGAGAGTGGGTAGTGGTCCTGGGGGTGGGTTAATGATCATCTTCATGAGGAGGAGGAAGAGGAGGTGATGGTGATATATTGAAAGGATATTTATTAAATTGTAAGTGAAAAATGGTTTATTATATCAATTGATTCATTTTGACCAGTAATCATCATCCAATTGTCTCACTCATTGTGTCTTAATGAATGTTAGTCAAGTGATGAGGAAGACAATTGGATAATGATGATAAAAATGTCGATATGTACTTACATTTAGTTAATCGTTAAAATGGCAATTACATTGATCAAAGACAATCAAAAAATTTGATCAATTTTTTTTTTACTTTTTTTTTCTGTCTGCACGAAATCTTGATGGTCAACATAATCATGGTGTCCACTTAAACAAAACTGACCAATTAATTTTGGAAAACTTTTTCTCTTCTTCATCTTCTTTCAATTGTCCAATCAGATGTGAAACCAAATACCAAAAATAATGATGATGAGTTGTTGATGTTGATGTCAAGTTATCATAAGAAATCATGATAACAACTGGACACTGGTCAAGGAAGCATAAACAGCCTCACCTTGGTCCTTTTCTTTATCGATCATCATAAACAACAACATAAAATTGAGTTTCTTCATTTAATCCGCATCTTTTTTCATCTTCATCTTTCACCATCAATTCCCATGACATTGTTTCACATTGGATGATGAAATTTGATAATTGATGAAGATAAAGATGATCAACATACCACATCATCTCAATTGGGAATTAGAAAATAATAATCACATAATTAGCAAGTTGATAATCTTCAGTTAATCACCAAGTAACTTGATTGTTGGAATAAATTGTTTTTTCTTCCCTTCTAAATTGTAACAATGTAAAGTTGAACAATTTAAAATTCTAAGAATTGTATTAGTTAATTAAATAACCTGAACACGTATTAATTAACTTCTACATGGTAACTGATTGATTAACATTTTGATTTGGATTCTTTTTTTCCCCTCGTTGGACTAAAACTTTTCAACTTACAATTAAATTAAATTGTTTCTACTTTGTGATTCAATTGGATTTTCAAGTTAAGGAAAATCAGGAAGAAGAAAACACGAAGAAAAAAAATTTAATTAAAGTTCATCAACAATAATCAGCTGAACAAAATTCATTGTAATTTAATCATTTTCTCCATCATCATTTATCTCATTCAGAATAACCAGAAATTTTGTTTCATCTACTAGAGAGAAAGTAAAAAAAAAAAAAAGGTAAACATTGAACCGAAACTAATTAGTTACCTAATTGTTATTAACATAATTATAATTAAATTATCTTCTTATGATCATCAAGGGTTAATTGTAATTGTGATTAACTAGGAGAAGAAAAATCAACAAGAGAGAAAAATGTCACATTGAATCAACATGAAGGTAATTATCTGATTATATGAAAACCGATGTAAGAAATAAAGACAAAAAGTAAAGATACTTGAGTTTGGTATGAAAATCATTTCCTTTAATTGGAGGTAAACAAAAATGAAATGATGATGATGATGAGAGGATGATCATTTAAAAGGATAAGGGTGATATTATTACATCATTGAATGAACTTGGTCCAGTCTGTAGGCAAGTTTGTGGTTGACGGAAAATTCATCTTCTTGTAAAGTACACATAAGCTATTGAGAGAGAAAGAGAGGGAGAGAAAAGAGAAGAGAAGAGAAATAGAAGATTATAATAAATTGATGGAATTTGAGAGAAAAATATAAGAATTCTATTCTCACCTGTTCGTTATATTTAACTGCGAAATTGTAAAGTTCTTGTAAAGCTACATTTGTATTGAATTCATGAGCATGAAGCTGTAAGAGGGAGAGATTGGGAAGAAGAAGAAGAGAAAAGAGAAAAAGATTAACATTTATTGATTTTTCTTTTTTTTTGCTTTTTTTCCATTTTTGAGCTTGGTTATTGTGTTCATTGAACTTACCCTTGATTCTTGGGCTAACATTGAATTCATATCTTGATCACTAATTGCTGGCATCGTTTTAATGTCTCGATAATATGATTCAACCCAATCTTTGTAAATTGGTATATCCTTGGCGTAAAGGAGTTTACTTGATGGTGAATCTTTACCTAGACGATGATCCGATTTTGAACAAGCGTCCATGAAAGTTTGAGCAACCACGGACAGGCAAGAGTCCACTATGTTTGATTTGTTTATGTCAAAAACAAAGTTTGGATTTTTAATCAGATTAACCCAGAAACGAAGGGGTAAACTATTTGATTTCCAGGTATGAACTGTTTCCAGATCAGTGATACCATGATTGATGGCTTGATCGTCAAGAAAATCAAACATATATTTAATAGCTAATGGTAAAGCTGACCCTCGGTTAGCTATGGAAAATATTGTCTCGAACAGATCGTCGACAAACTTTTGCAACGTTCCCTTTGTTGAAAGTAATCTGGTCAAGTAAATCTCGGTGACTAGACGATTATTACGCTCATCTTTGGACTGTTCACCATCAGAATGACGAACCAAATGCCACATTTTATAACCATTTTCTAGGTCATGATTTAGCGGAGATGTGGCCCGAGAAAGGGGAGGTGAACAGGCTTTATTGTAACCACCGAAGTTAAGAGTTTCATATTTATGTTTATCCATTTTATCTGATAAAATGGATAAATTGTACATGGAGCTTTGTTTAGGCACTAAACTGAGTGAGGCTCCATCACAGACTCGATAATGAGCAAGAGTATTGACACGTTTCCATTCACCATCAAATTTAGATGTTGTATCTTCTTCGGATAAGATGAGACGCCCAGATTGACCGGTTCTCCATTCAAGGTCAAGATCATCTTTAGATGGACGTAGTGAGTAAGGTACATTACGATAAATGGCATCGAGACATTTTTCTTTCACTTGAGATATTGTATCACAATCGAGTACCTTTACAGGTATCTCAATATTTTCACCTTGACCCATGATTTGATCAATACCGGAAACATATTGGTTAACTGTTTGACTGGACATGACAACATAAACAGTTAAAGGTTTATATTCAATTGATTGTCGAATTAACTTCTCCTCTGATAATGAGTAACGAGCTTCACTTGTTATAGCGTCGACTGGACCTTTGTCTACCTGTTGTTTGATTGCTCGATAAAGTAGATACAATGGATCACCAGCACATTCACGAAGAAATTTGTACAATAGGAAAGTAAACCAGGAAGATAACATTTTCTCAGCCACTGATTCGGTTCGACGGAGAAGTAGCTTAGGATGAGATTTACCTTCCATACAACGTTCAATCAGATCAGCGAGAAGTGTTTTCAAAATATCGGTACAATATTCCATTTTACCTTGAAGAGCGACCATAATGTAAGATGCAACATTAACACGATCTCTCATTGAGAAATTACGATTAGATTCAAGAGTTCGTATAAAGAGAAGGAGGAATGTTTTGTTCATGATAAGTTGTCCGAAAGCTTTTAGACCTTTTTCCAATGAGGCTCGTCGAATTGGTTCAATATCCATTTCACGTAATACTGGATGGTCATTGTCATTGGGGAATAAAACTTTGATGGCATAAATACGATATTCGTGGAAAGGTATTCGAGTAGCCGTCATTTCACCTGTAAGATCAGTCATCTCAGTTTGAAGTTCGGCAAAAGCTTCTTTACACTCTGAGGCGACTCGAAGTTCAAGGACATCCATTTGTTCTTGCATTGATCGAAGTACTCGATTAGATTCTGTTGATTTACGCTTGTAGGCGATTAAGATGACAATCACAACCACAACAAGAGCACAAGTACCAATGATAACCGCTATGACCACCGGTTTGGGAAGGTTAGCATCGGGTGAGGGTGGACGCTCATAACTTAATTTTCCAATTGTATAGTTAAGGGTATCACCCACCATGACCACAACATCCGGTATTGCACTATCATCAGATTCACCATTGGCTCTCATGGCGGGTGGTTGTGAGGTTGGTGGACGACAAGTTAATTGAGATCGTGATAAACTTGTAACATCACAAAACTTGGAACCTATTTTAACCATAACATCAGCTTCTTGGGAGGCTCGGTCAAGATTCTTACCCTGTGTATGTGTGAGTTAGATTAACATGAATATCATCATCATGTTACCAAAAAAATGTAGATAGAAATAAAAAGAAAAAGAAACATTAATAATATTAATAATTAACATTGGGTTTGTAACATTATAATGATAATCATCATAAAAATAATAGTTAAAGTTAATGAATTATTACAGTGATTATAATCTAAATTTTATCGATTTTGTCATGTTTTTTTTTCTTCTCATTTTTTTTTGTTATCATCACTATCATTCATCTACCTGGCTCACTCTCTCATTCTCTATCTCTCTCTCTCTCCTTGAGGACTCTTTAGGTAAGATTAATAAGGTTGTTACAAATGGGCGTAACTATCGGTGGTTCCTGGTTAACGTAGTTTTTTGTTGTTCTGTTAAATTCAATGTAAATGACTTAAGCTACACATTCAGTGTTATGAATGTTAAATGTGAGAGAGAGAGAGAGAGAGAGAGATGATGATGATGAAGATGAAGATGATGACGATAATCAACACAACATGATGAGGTAAAATTAATAACTTATTATATAATGAGTTTCTTTGTTTAATCATGATGATGTTGATGATAAGCAAGATAAACATTATACATGGTGTATATGAGTGTTCAATGTTTTGAATTATCTTCATCGTCAGACTAATGATTAAGCCCATTCTCGTTGGTTTAATTAATAGTCTCTTTATCATCATTACAAGTGAGAGATTGAGTAAAAGAAGTCTTAATGACGAAGATTAAATAAAATCAATCAAATTGTAATCGAAATTTGCATTAACAATTATAATTTGAGGCTTTTCCAGGTTTGGATTATTATCATTGTAATTGTTGTATTGTAATTTAATGGTTAATTGGATTTAAATTGTCGAACAAATGATTGAATTAATTTGCGTGAATAAAGACTCCCTTTCTCACTCAGATGTCTGACCATCGATCAAATCAAGACAAAAGGGTAAATGTAATTAAAGATTAATCAAAAAAGTGACCAAGTATAAATAAATTAGTGAGAGGAGGAGGGTCTCCAAATGGTGGAAGGGAGAGAGTGGAAGTGTGAGTGGGAGAGAAAACAAAAGCTGATTGGAAAGAGAGAGAGAGAGAGATTATGATGATGAGAGTGGGGATGAAAAATGGGAAAGTCTTATGAAAGGGCAATAGAAAATGAGAGAGGCAGACTGGTCATTATTGCAGCATTTTTTAAGTACATGAAGATGTAGATATATTATTATTTGAGAGACAAAGAGCAAAAGATTTACAAGGAAAAGTAAGAAATTGCAGACTGTAATTCATTCATAGTCCCTATTTTTCATCTTCCTATCATCTTCATAAAAAAATATCTGTTTAATTTAGCATGATGTTGATCAACAACAACAACAACAACATCAGATGTATAATCTTACAAGCTTATTATCGAGAGCAAGAGAATAAAGAAAAGAGTATGAAGAGAGACTAAAGATGATGATGATGATGAAAAAGGAGATTGGCAGGTTTGAAGAAGCGAAAATATTGACTATGGATAGGGCGTAGCTTTTATTTCTTCGTTTGGATAAGATGCCCTAAGGGTCACTTTCAAGTCAGATTCATTCATCTCATGTATATACACACACACTCGTTTGGATCAAGAATAGCGGAGATGGTTAAGAAGATGAAGAAAATAAAGAAAGAAAAGAAAGAGATTATAAATGAGATTCCATGAGTATCAAAAGAAATAAAATTTCAACTCGATGAAGATATACAAAGAATAGCAGGTTAATATGGATGATAATGATAGTGAATGAGAGAGAGAGAGAGAGAGAAGGGCAAAAGTGGCTAGAAAAAGAAGCGAGAAAAAAGCATAAATAAGTAATGAAGGTAAGTATGGGAATGCAAAATGATGATGATGATTACGATGATAATATATCTTGAGTGAGTAAAAAAACATGAAGATAAAAGTATTAAGCTTATTTTATTATTATACTTTTCAATTAAGAGAAGGAAAAATATTCCCAGAATTCAATCATCATCATCAACATAGAGATGATAAAAGAGAGCGGGAGAGAGAATAAGAGAGAATCAAGATGATAATCATGATTATCATGATGATGATGATGATGATGGTGAAACTGAGAAAGAAAGGGAGAGAGAATTGATAATATTTTTGCCACCATAACAATGGAATCTTATGAATTTTTTATATTTACAAATGAACAATCAACATAAATCAATGCCCACTGAATTCAGTGTTTATTTAATTGTAATATCTACATAAAGTGATATCATTAATTTAGAGGTTTTTAATGAAAAAAAGTGTCGCATCCAGAAAGATGATAATAAGTAGGATAAATATAATTCATCAATCGCAATCATAATTGTGATGACAATAAAGGCCTAGAATTATATTTATACTGATGATGTCTAATATAGCAGAAATAATAGTTGAAAGAGTCAAGATTTGTCTCTGTAAAGTATTGGATGACTTGAGAAGATGAGAAGTGGGAGGATGATGCAAAATTAATTCTGGGAATGAAAGAGGGTAGAGAGAGAGAGAGAGAGAGAGAGAGAGAGAGAGAGAGGAGGAAGACGATGAGGAGGAGAAAGAGAAGTAGAAATGAGAGAAAGGATTGATCTTAATTGGATTGGATTAGGTTGTTTCTGTTTCTGTTGGTAAGTTGATTGTAAAAATCAGGATAAGATGATGATGATAACTTAAGATAAGATGAAGGGAAAGATGATGAAGATAAGAGATGAGAATTGAGGCTTGAAGAGATACAATAAAAACTGAATAAGAAGTTTTCAATCATATTTACTTGTAATCGCATGGGATACACTCAATAAATATCATTTCGATGAAGGAGAAATGGGAGAGAATTGAAGAAAAGCATCAATTGATTGAACAATTAATAGTTGTTGATGGTAACTATACTCATCTTATTCAAATTATCATGATAATCATGTTCTCACGAGTAAAGTGAGAGAGATAAATGTATAATTTCAATTGGTTTATCTTCTTGATTGGTATCAAGAATAGGTTAATAGAAAGTAAACAAAATCATAGTAACACCAATACACATCATTGATCAAGTGAACGCATTGAGGTACTATTCATGCACAGTTTGTCATTGTGAGAAGAAGATTGAAGATGAGGAATGAGAATAAGAATCAAAGTGATTCAAGTGTCTCTCTGATTACTACTAATATCATCCCTTTATCTTCCATTTTCATCATTATTCTTATTCTATTTTTCTCTCGCTTTCCTCCTGGTAAAAGATGAAATGTATTCACCTTTTCATGTAACCAGAACTGATATTTGTTTGATTTCTAATAAATAAATAGCATTTGAATTGTGAAGATGAGGATGATGAAGAGATGGAATTTATATCCTTTGGAAATGCATAAAAAGTTCAATGAAGAGTAAAAGGGAGAAGGTAGAGAAGAGCAAGAGATGAAAGGAAAAGAAGAATAAGAAGAAAATGGAAAAATGATGAAAAGCAAAGGGAGAGGAGATGGAAGACAGGATTGTAATCAAGAGAGAAAGAGAGAGAGAGAAACTTCATGTGAGATTGAATGAAAAGGATGAAATGTTATTTTATATCAGGTTTAATTCGGATATCCATTATATTATTTTGAGCCGCATCACTTTTGCTTCCTTAACTCTTCTCACTTTTCATCTTCTCATTTCTGGGTTCATACTGAGTAATAAAGAAAGAGGAAGAGAAAGAAAGAAAGAAAGAAAGAGAAGAGAGAGAGAGAGAGAGAGAGAGTTGAACGGATGATAAAAAACAGTTACGGATGAGAAACTAAAATATGATGACGAAGACGACAAAAGGTAAACTTATCATCTTACTGATGCATTTTACCTTTTCACATCACATCGCTAACATTTGTTTTCCTCATTCAAGTGATGCAGATTGTAAATAATAAAGCGAGTAAAAAAAAGAGAGAGAAAAACAGAGGAGAGATGTGAAAGATGATGAAGATGATAAGGGATGAAGAAAGAAATTGTACAAAAGAAAACAAATTGATTGTTTTGTTGATCATAATACAATAATAATAATGTAATAATGATGATTTATATAAATGTGAAAAACAAACAGAAATAAGAATAAGATGAAAAGAATTAAATGTTTACAATCAACATGATGACCTATTGAATATAAATCTAATTAAATTCCTCATGGGGACTTTATAAAGTAAAAATATACGTTTTATTTACAAAGGAGGAAAAGGAGATGATGATAATGAAGGAGAAAGTGAAAATGCAATGGGATTCAGAGTGACAACTAAGATGAGGCGAGAAGGTAAAAATCTGAGTATTCTTAGGGTTTCAACAAGAAACTATCTTAATAAAGTTAATAGCTTTCTCCATCATTCCTATCATCTTTATCTTCCTAATTTTCATCTTCCCATTTAACCTTTTTTTTTCCTGCATCTCAGATAATGATGATAATGATATTACTTTAATCTTAAGATAATGAGAATCCTCATCAAGCCTCATTGTGTCTCACTTTACCTTAATGTTTGTTGTGTTGCTTATTTATAAACAAAGAGTATTTTTTTGATAGCAAATGAACATAAAGTAACATTTTATGTTAGAAAGAAACACTTTGTTTGAGTTACATGCGATCAACATTTTGATTACATTAAATGAATTAAATCACAGGGAAAAGGGAGATTCAAGTGTGAGAGAGAGAAAGTGAGATAGTTATGGTTACACTGCATGACAAATTAATCTGTTTCTGGATGAATTAGGAAGAAGAAGATAAAAGATGAAAAACTAGACTTACATTAATAGTTAAGTAGTCCGATTTGTAATATTTGACTCTCTTTGGTTCATTGAAATTATGATATTCTGGATTACGGAACATACGAAATTTGGTAAATGGATTGTGACGACGTTTAGTTAAATCCATAACTGAAGGAACCGCATCCATGATAAAACCATAATGTAATTCAACATAATCATCTTGCTCGGAGAAATCAAGCTTATCCAAGGGAACCGCTGGACTTTTACATTTCATATCAGCTTCGGTTTCAGCGACACATGAACTATTGTACTTTACTCCTTGAACTTCAACATATAACATTGGATTACGAACTGATTTAAGGTTGGTTCCTTTCACAAAAATACGGATACCCCCTGAGGGAATACCCTTTGGAACATATTTCTGACCGGAACCGGCTTCAACTGTTGATATGGTTGGATCGGCAATGTAAGAGAAATGATATGATTCAAAGGTTCGTACACCGTAATCAAATCGTACGTGAACCCGTTCATCGCCAGGTTCAGAGCGTCCTGATGTCATACACTCAACTAAATTTTGATCACGAGAAATTACCTCACAAGGTAAATCACCAAGGTAGGCTTGAACAGAGGAACCTGCATTCATATGGAGACCCCAAATTTTAAGGCGAGTACCACCTGACCTGGGACCGAATATGGGGTCAATTGATGTTATAAGCGGAGACACAAAGTGATAATATTCACGGGATTTTGCAGTATAATCATTTTGTACTTTCACCACAACCGGTCCGGCAATTGAATTAGCCATGACACGGGTTATATTGGGTTCACGTATTTGACAAGTGATACGAGTTGTTTTCACATAACGTTGTCTAAATGGAATACAATTAATTAATCCTATGGTTACACCGTTTTGTTCATGGGCAACATGAACACCATTACCAATATCTTCAAAGTTTCGTCCTAAATTAATACCCTCAATGGTGATATTGGTCCCACCCTCCCAAGGGCCTGATTTAGGATGAAAGTCAAGAATCTGTGGATCAGGACAAGTTTGCTGTTTATTAAGCCAAGCTAATTGATTGTCTCGAGCGCGTTCAGTGCATTTTTCTTCAACATCACATTGATCATGACACCAGCCACAATTGTATTTATCAGGTAATTCCAGACACATACCACAATTATCCGCCATTCCTTGACATCGATAAACAATTACTGTTGTTTCAGGTAACATTGTTTTTTATGAGAAAAACAAAGATGAATCATTTCGCCATAATGATAAACAAAAATTAATGATAACACAATTAGAGAAAAATAACAAATTAATGAATAGAAAGAAGAGAGAGAGAAATATATATGTTATTAAGCAAAGTGTTCATCATTGAACGGACTTCAATTAAGAGGAATGGCACGAAAAAAGGTAGGGTCAGGTCAATAACATGGGGCCACTTTTTTTAAGGCTGGTCTATCTACTGTAAATCCCTCTCCATCAGCATCATCAACAGCAACATCATCATCAACATGATATCCATCTCCATAATCAGTGAGAATGGAAGTGAAAAGGAAAAGGAAAGATGAGATTTTGTTTATGATACATAATCAAGGGTAAATTTTTAGGTAATTTTTGAAAGTAACCACGCTGATGATGATGTTGATGGGTGCGTGCCTCAGCTAAGTGTGTCTAAGGATAAGCTTTTCAGTTGTTTTTGACAGCTTGTCCTGTTACTCTCAATGACGCCCAACATGGAGACACACACAGTTAATCAACATAAACAAAAGAAATGACTGTTTTTTCCTCATATCATAACATTAATCTATTAATACTGAAGCTTTATTAATGTTATAATTGTTATGTTATTATTGGAAACTACATTGAAGTTATTTAGTATCGATAGGAATTCAAATTTTCTGTCTTATCGTAAATAATTATGCCTATGGTATGTTGATGAAGATAATGTTGTTGATGCTGTTTATGATAATTATACTCATGTTGGTATAATTATTATTAAGTGGAGACATGTTATTTTCTTTGTAAATTATCAAAAGTGATTTTCAGTTTGCTTAGATAATTTCCTCTCTCTCATTATTTTCCATGTTAAGGATTGAATAGATTATCTTATCACTTACCATGAATATTTTGAGGATTATCAAGAGGCTTGGATCCATCCCAAATAACTGCAAATGCTGCTGTTATATTGGGTGCATTGGTTGTATATTGAAATCTCATCTGATCACAATAAATTGTATCACCTAATAGCTGAGCATTAACTTGTTTAACACGACCCTCGATATTAAATTGGCAAATGAAACGAGTTGAAACAATAAACTGAGGTATATTTTCAACCTTAACTTGAATACGTTGTGAACTTCCGGAAGGTGCTAAGACTTCACTTGATATCGCTGAAGTGGCATTAACACGGGGACAAAATCCTGGACCTGAACGGATACTTGGTCCTATTGAACGTAAACCAGTAACCAGAATATCATTTCGACAATTTTCTCCGGTATCATGAGTACAACGATGACCTCCGACACACCAATCACAGGGGAAAGGTGAGGAAACACACTGAGTACAACTCATATAAGAGGAACAATCGTAAAAGGTGAAATTTGTTGCTACAAAATCTGGTCCAGTTTTCATTCGGACTGAAAGTTTAGCAGTAAAATGATGACTTCCTGGTGGTATTTGAGGTAGAGTATCAGTTGGTGGTGTGGGACAGTTAATACCAAGATTTGACCGGGTGGCATTGGTTATACGAGTTTTACCGAAAGCAGTAAATGCACAGAAAAATTGTCCATCAAGAGCTGGTAAATTATCAATAAAAAGACCTAAGGTTCGAGTAGTGGTTCGTTGAAGTTGAGCTGGACTTACATGGGTAATAGTGGTACATTTACCCGATTTGTAAGATAACCAATAAAGTGGATCGGCTGCAGCTTCAGCACAATCACTACGAAGAGAACATTTATTTTCAAGGGAACACCAACCACAATATGGATCTCTAGCACCTAAACACTCTGAACATGTTCGATATATTTGACACTCTTGAACCTTAAGCATAGTTACTCTTTTCTCGGTCATCACGTAAAGATAATTTTTATTAGTTGGTGCGAAAAGCATATTACTGGCAATGGCACTTCCTTCATCGATCACCAAAGTAGCATATTCAAAGGCTGAGGTAACACTTTCAACCACTGTCTTCTTCAGGAAGCCCGTTGAGGTACCCAAATAGGCAACCGTATAATCATGGGTGGAGGTGGCAGCTACTGAGGTAAGTAGATGATTTGGATAAGTTAAAACGGGCGAAGCTTCAATGGGCATAGTTCCACCTAAAGGAGTGTTTACATCTAATCCACAAAAATCATCACCTATTTGCACTTGCTGTTTGTTCAAATGATCAAAATATCATTGATAGAGGTAATGATGATGACAAAGATGATGTTATAATAAATGTTGAACATCATTCATCAATTGAAATTCCAACATATCATCAGAAGAAAAATAAACCAAAGATATACCAAGGGAAAAAACCCAATGGTAGACAGAGATGATCATAATGGTGATAATGACCATTTAATGTCCGGTTTGTTGTAGTATTTGTGGTAACCCAAAACAATGGAAAACATGACAATCAAGATAATGGTGATAACATGGGTTATGATGGTGGTTGTTGAATAATCATTCATAGGTGGATTAAGTTGATTGTATAAACCAAGAGAAAAACCCATGTTAAATCCAAGCAAATAATTGGAAAAGAGATGAAGAGGAAGAAAGAAAAAAAAAGAGAAGCCATGATTAGTGATTATTATCAATAATGACATTTATGAAATAGATCGGAGGTGAATGATAATAATGATGAAAGAAAAAAAAACTAGAAGCTCAACTTCAGGGGATGAAAGTCAAAGAGAATCAATAAAAAAAGATGAGCAACCGAAAAAGAGGAAATGCTTTTATTTTAACCTCTTTTCCTCCTCTTCCTCATCACCATGTTTTCGCTTCAATATCAGGTAACCCTTAAAATTCACGGAGATGATAATGATGATGCTTTTGTTCATTTCCTTCAGAATATTTGATAAGCCTTATGATGAACCTGTTCATTATAATCATCATGAAAGATCATAATGTTTCTTTATAAGTTTCAACAACATTTTTAGGCAAATATAAATCTCTAAGCCCTGAGTCTCATTCATTTTATTTTCGAGAATTTTTCTTTCTCCTCATCTTCTTTCTGATTACTTTCATCATCATAATCAACATCATCTTTATCTTCCTTTTCTTCCCTAGAGAAGGTTTCATCTTTCTTTTGATGAAAGATTACACGAGATTGGAGGAAGAAGAAGATGATGATGAAGAAAAAAAAAAGAAACAGAAGATAGGAAATGAAAGAGAGAAGAGAAAGTAAAAGAAGATTAGAAAGAGAAGATCAAGAAGATGAAGGTTGATATAAAGGTAAAAATCAATGAAAGGAAGGGGAGAGACAAAAGTAACCTTAATGTGATCATAGTAGTAATTAAATTCAATCATAAAATTGACCATAAGCATAGAAAACAAAAGAGAGTCGATAACATCATCTCTCTCTCTCTTTCGCTCTCTATCCCTACCATCCTCTTCATCCTTCATCATCAAGATAATTATTATAACAATGTAATACGATGAAGCACAATTAACAAAAGTAACTGAACATTTAATGGTAAATAAAATCAACAATCAAACCAACATAATATTAACATAATCCACTCTTGACCAGATACAAATACCAAATACAATAAAAAGTAAACATAACTGGACAAGGTCAAGAGTAATAATAATGAAACAAATCATCAGCATGAAACCTCATCATGATAATAAACTATCACAATCAAATCAACAATAAAAATTAATAATAAAACAAAAATTCCTATAACTCATTACAACGAATATAAAAATTACCTAACAAATTCATCCTCCTGGTCCTGGTATCTTCCTTATTCATTCATCTATTTTCTCTCTCTCTCCTCCCACCTCCTCCTCCTTCTTTCTCTCATTTCTCCTGGTTCTTTCATCTTCCCTACCAAAACCTAAGCAAACTCATTCTCTCTTTTCATCCTTCTCCCTCAAAATGATGATTCTTCTACACTTTCAATCAGACTTATTGCTATTACTTTCTCAACAAGAACATAATCAATATTTGCAGAAATGGATCCGGTTTGAAGTCTTTACTTCACTCAAAACCAGTGAGTGAGTTTTAAAGCTGAATTATTGTCAAAATTGAAAAGAGAGGAGAAAAGAACAAGAGAAAATGTAATTCTCTAAGAGAAAACATGGGAAAAAAAGGTATTTTTTTTATATTATTATATATTATCTAATAATAATAATATGTTATCAAAAATAATAGTAGAAATTGTATAAGAACAAGAAAAGGATGCAAAAAGTATCACAGGAAACGTATATTAATGTATTACCATTAATAATAAGAGACTTTCCCTTGGTATCAAATGTAATGTCACTCACACGGTCAACGTTGTTGTCGTTATATTTGTAATTGTTAACTGTAATTGTGAACGGACTTTTAATTGCTACTGTAATGATATTAAAGTACAATTAAATTATAAGGTAGACAGAGAACGATAAAGAGAAAGAGAGAGAGAGAATGAGAGACACAGAGATGATTGAAAATTTACTTTAACTACAGGTGTATTTACTTTAAATACACAGGTAACAATGAAATTAAATGTTAATTTGATACAACCCCCCTGTAGGTACATTTTTACTAGTGTTAAATATAATAGATATCTCAGTGATATCACTAATCATTTGAAACATTTTAAAATGGTTCGTTGTAGTTGTTGTTTTCATTGACTTGAAATTAGTTAATTTGTGATGAAGAGGAAAAAAATTACTATCAACGTAGCAAAGTTTTCAATATTGTTTACTATGTTTTAATCTTGTCCATTGTTTTTTAACTGTTACCTTAACTATATTTCTAATTAGAAGTGATCAGTGTCACCAATAAGTTAATTGTGTATCTCCTTTTTTGAGCTATCATTTGGAATCATCATCAGCAGCATTTGTTTATATTGTTTAAATCTAAATAGTTTCAACCAGAAATGGAAAATGTTTACACGGAATATATTATCGACGAAACAATTGTGACCAATGATCCTAATCAGTCACAGGTAAATGTTATTAATCCATTATTATCTACTCAAGTAACAAATAGGAATTTAAATAGGGATGTTGGTGATGGAGATAAAGACGGTGCTGGGGATGGTGATTTAAATATTTGTATTGAAGATGAAAGAAGGTCCAACCTTGTGGATTATGTTTATGAAGATAAATTGTCCCCAAGAACAAGGATAAGACCAAATGAGAGAGCGGTAATAAGATCAACTGCTAACGTAAATGATTATTTATCTTCACCTAATTATCAACCAATCTCACCGGTGGAATCACCATTGGGCCTCGCAGTGGCAAGTGCTTTAGATGATTCTTATTTTCCCGTATCAGAGGAATCAATTGAAGTGGAAAATAAAAGACCAGAAGATTATTATGATGATACTAGTCAATCTCAACAATCACCAACCGGTGACCCATTTAGACCTGAGTGTCAAATACCTTTACCAGGTACGATGGATCAATACCCGTTTATGGATAATCGAACTTTTGTCCGACGTCGAAATGAACGTGAACGTACAAGAGTTCGTAATGTCAACGAAGGATTTGAAAGGTTAAGACAACATTTACCTACACCTAAAAGTTGTAAAGATAAAAGATTATCAAAAGTAGAAACACTGAGAGAAGCAATTAACTACATTAAACATCTTCAAAATCTTTTGAAATCAGATTCAAACAAATAGAAAAGATTAAAATGGAAGTGAGAGAGAGAGAGAAAAAAAAATCATGATGATGACGATAATAATGATAAACTAATAAGCTAATCAGTAGATTAACAATAAACAACATTTAATTGCAATCAACCTATTTTTTTAAATCTCCTTTTCTGTTTGATTGTATTTCCTTTTCATAAGATAAAATTTTATATATTTGAGTAACTGAATTGAATTTCTTTCAGCTAATTCGCATGAAAAACAGATTGATTTGTTTCGACTAACAAATTAAAGATATCAATTTATCTCAATGTGTTCCAATTGTTTTGATTGTTATGTTTTTTTTTCTTATATCACAATTTGATTTTGTATGATACAGTTTATATCATTTGAATCAATGATTAACTAATAACATTACATATAAAAACAACGACAACAATCATGCTGACAATGAGTTAACCTTGTTAAGTAAAGAAAAAAAAGAATCGGATTAACATAACTAAATAAAGTTGAACATTTATCATGAGAATTGTGAACTCAATTAATAGCAATTAATGACAATACACTTAGAGATGTTTCTACTATTACTACTGTATCTTGACTTTGGCAACAATTTGGAAAAGTAAAAAAAAGAACCATTAAGAGATAATTAAGGATCAATTGATCAATTTACACCTTTGCAGATACACAAATAAATATAAGGAGTAATAATACTGATGATGATAACTGCCGATAATGATTTTGATTGAAGTAGAGTAACTGAACCTTTCAAATTGTTATTTTTTTCTTTGGTTGCAAACTAAGTTCTTTATGTTTTTCTTGTGTTAATTGTGAGCATCATCTGAGTGTTGTTGCTTCATTTAGTGTATGGTAGGTGGTAGATATAAGGATAATCATATAATAGTAACATGTAATCTAAGGGAAAAATCCATAAAGAGAAGCAAATAATTTAAGGAAGAAAGAGAAAGAGAGAGAGAGAAAAGTCATCATCATCGCCAGTAAACCAGATAACGATATAGTTAAATTGATTATACACATGAAGCAGAATAAATGTGAGATATAACAACCTGAATATTATACCAGTAGAAGAGGGAGCATAAGATGAAGAGCAAGAAGCAGAATCAAAATGGCGAAGATGCAATAAGCAAGACAATCAAGTTAACGATATTGTAAAAGTAATGCATTTAATAGCAAGAGTAATATCTTAGTGAAAGGCAATATAAAGGGCGAAACTGATTCACGCGTTAAGTTTAAAAAAAATCAAAGAAGATGAGGAAGAAGAATTAAGGAAGGAAAGAAAGATAGAGAGAGAGAGAGAGGCCTAAAAAGATGACAAGAAAGTAAAGTACGAGAAGAAGAGAGGGAGAAGGAGGCGAAATGAGGGACGTAACAAAATTTACAAGATGATAAAAAAGAGAAAGAGAAATAACCTCTGATGAAGACAAATGATTTAAAAACCGATATAATCATCATATTATACTATTGTTACCACAGGAAAATGAAATTAGTATTAATAGTTTTTAATACTGTAAACGGAAATCTTTTTTATTGTGAAAAAAATTATCTTCATATGATTATAATCACTATTTATATAATCATCATTAAAGATATTAAATAAGCTAAATTGTGACAGGGAAAATAAAGTCAAGAGAGTGAGAGAGCCACACACAGAAAAAAGTTTGTGTGTCCTCTTTTCAAGTGACTTGGCCACTTGATAATCATTTGTAAACTAATGGTTTTAAATGATGAAACAATTTAATGCATCTTCCTTTGGTCTTCATGGGAAAAGAAAGAGAGAGAGAGAGATGATGATTATGATGATAGAGAAAGAGTAAGATGAGAATTAGAAGCCCCATAGAGAGTAGAAAAAAGGAAGAGAGAAAAAGCTAGAGAAGAATGAGGAAAGGCTAATAAAAGGTTGATGATGTTACTTTAAAAGAGGAAAGTTATGATGGTCAGAAAGAGAGAAAAAAAGAGAGAGAGAAGGAGACTTTCTAGAGTTTTTTAAATCTTCTTTTGGACATAAAATCGCAGCACACCCATAGTGAGAGTATAAACCTAGGAATGAGACTTTTGACCCAGCATCCTTTGCATATTTATCATCATTTCAGCATCATCCTCATCCCAATCTCCATCAACACTGAATGTCAATAATTTGCTTTGAGTTAACATATGGCTTCAATCTGACTAACGTTATCGTTATTTGAGGTTAGAGGTTTTATAATTGTCGGTCAACAAACACACTGACCGATGGAAAGGATGAAGAGAAGGAAGATGGAAGATGACGAAGATGGTGTTTGCAAAATGCAAACATCCAATGAAAGAGAGAGAGAGAGAGAGAGAGAGAGAGAAATAAAAGCAAATAGAGCAAGAAGGTAAAAAAGCGTAAAAGTAAACTGAGTACGACAATAAGGAGTGTAAGTAGAAGGAGGAAAGATGATGCGAGAGAGAAGGAAAGAAAAGACAAAACAAAAAATGGAACTAAAAACAGATTAGTAGCGAATGATTAACTTACAGTTAGTTCACAATCTTTGGTTGGATTAACAAAATCAAGTCCTTGGTTTCCGTTTCCGTTGAAACAATGTTGAACATTTTGAGTAAATTTACGGTGGACAGCGGATAAGGCATAAACACATAAAGCTGAATTGGTATCGGGTTGATTGTAAACATCACCTTTATCCATTGATTTGGCAAAAACTACAAATAAAACTTTATCCTGGGCAGTAATGCCCAATGAAACAGCCAATTCGGAACCAGGGTTACCTACATAAGCTGCTTGGGCCAAATTATAATCATAGGAATCTGATTTACATACCAGAGGAACCTCAGTGTAAGAATAATAATGTAGATCTTTTTGACAGATTCGAACAAGTTTAGAAATAAATGGTTTAGGTGATTCACTTGTTTTCTTTTGAAAGGTGACAAAATAGGAGAAACCTTGATAAGAAAAACCATAAACATAACTGATTGGATATCGATCTCGAGCCAATGAATTAACCAGTAAACGGGTTCCTGTGGTTACACCGGTAGCGGCAACAAGAAACATATTTGATGAATCCAGTGATCGGGAAGAAACTGTCGGTACATCGGAACCATAGGGACCATTACCGGTATAAGAGACACCAACATAGAGAACGTGCATTCTAGATAAACTTTGAGGTCCAGGAGCGATAAAGGCAACAGTTGATGCGGTTGCATTATTGGCTACCACAGATTCGTTTGCTGGTGTCTCATAAATGGAAACATTTTCTAACCTATGGACTGAGCAAACACCTTGAAATAAACTTCCACAGGAGATTAATTGACTTTTTGGATAATCAATGACCAGAGCTTTATTCCAATAGTTGGTTGGTTTTAAACGTATACCAGGACAATTACGGGTAACCGGACATTCAGCTGAATCGGGTCGAGGTCCCATCTCAACGGAAGCCTCAAGTTGTAAATTTACATTAAGCTGGTATATCCGGTTAACCGCTCCAATATATATTTGACCAGTATAATCATTTATCGATAAATGATTAAATTTAATATTATTTACATCCTCAAAAGCAGCATAAGAACTATTTGTGGCTGGTATTGTTCTAGGTTGACAATCTACAAATGACACAAGCCTGGTGGTAAAAATAATCACAATATATACAAACGAGAACATTAAAATTAATTGAGAGTGAAAATGGCGACGAGATTTATGATGATAAGAATGATAATGATGATGTTGAGATTGATTCTGTGAATAATTATCACTCAGATTAGATTTAGTGGTAGCAGTAGTAGTACAAGTACTAGTTTTAGCTGGAGATGATAATGTATTGGTAGACTCATGGTGGTGGTGGTGGTGGTGGTGATGACAAAGGTGGTCATGTTGTTGTTCCTGGTGTTGGTGGTGATGATTATGCGAATTAATTTGAGAATTTTCTTTATACTGATGTTGTGAATGTTGGTCAGAAAGATCTGAATGTTGACTACAATTTTTTAAATAATTTTCATCATCATTATGATTATGATAATCTCCTATGTATTGTAGTGGATTCTCTCGATACTTCCTATGTTTCTCCTTCCGTGATACTTCACCAGGATAATCATGTCGATGATTTGAATGATCCTGATGGTTGTAAACTTGACAAAGAAGGCTCATTGATTGACACAGATAGAGACACACAAATCAACCAGGTAGTAGTAGTAGTAGTATAGATAAAACCAGTATAACCATTACATTGACTTGAATAATTGATAGAGGAAGAGAGAGGGATAGAAAAGAAGCAGAAGAAGAGAAAGAAAAAAAAGAAACAGAAAATATTATCAAAAATGTATTAAAATCCAATTGGTCATCAAATGATGATTAGTAAGAGAAGAAAAGTTGAAATTCTGTTATAAATTCATTTATATAAATAAAGAACAACATACACTTTTTAAAGAGAAAAAAATTCCGAAGAGAAGAAGAGAAAATGATGAGAGAAAAAAAAGAAAACCAGAAAAAGAACCAAGACTTTAAGATGGCGTAACTGTTAAACAAAAGAAGATGAAGAGAATTCAGTTAAACCAATTGATCACAAATGACACTTCAGGTAGAGATTTTGATAGACGCCATTAGATTAATTAATGAGTATGGAAGAACAATTAAGAAACAAAAATTAATATAAAAAACGTACAATTAAAACCTAACCGATTGTCATCAATTCAATTCTAATAAAAATTAACTTATTAAGAAGAAAAATTTGTAAACAAGAGAGAAGAAAAAAGAAAATCTTTCTCTGCGCATGCGCGATGATCACCACACCCATGAATTCCTGAGAACAGAGCGACATCTCATGATCGAAATTCAAACTTAAACTTCGTTTGTAAACTTTTTTTCCAAATCGACTAATATTAATCACTTTTTAATCAGTTAATCACTTGGTGATTATTTCGTTTTGAAATTATTCCATTTCCTATCATACAGCATTTCCTCATTATTCAGGAGAATAATTTTTCTATTGTGATCTTTTTTTTACATAATCTTGTTGATTGATTTCCTTTTCCTTAATATTAGAGCATTCGGACATGGCCGGGTCTGAATAAGATATTATCATCATAGAAATTTTATTTTTATTGCAAATTAATCAGCATACATTTCTGATCTCAAAAATGAATTTCATTGAAAATTCAAGATGGCGTCGAGTTTTGGCGCCAAATTAAGTAAAATAGGTCAAATTTTCAAATATCTCGAATTCAAACTTAAAAATATTCGAAAATATCTGCTCGAAATCGACAATTTTTTTTCTGTGGAATTCATAACTCCTCATATTCGAAATGTAAAAAAATTTAATCAGAATTCATAACAGAAAAATTTTTATAGTGATTTTAATCGAAAGGGGGAATAATTTTAATCAGATTAAAATCATGTTTTTGTGAGTCCCATGTTAAATTTCCCATAAAGAAAAAGGGGTAAAAACGGTCTTTTTTTAGCCTGAAAATTGAACGCCCTATTGGATTTTCTTAAAAAATTCATTTTTTGGGTTAGGAAGTTAGCTGATTCATTTGAAATAAAAATTAAATTTCTATCATGATCACAACCTAATCAGACCCGGCCATGTCCGAATGCTCTAATATTAATTGAATTTAGATTGTTTGTTGTGTTGATAATTGATTGTTGATTTAAATGATTAATTGTTTATCTTATTAGTCGATTTGAGTTATTTCTATGTTGTGACTTTCTAATTTTACTTTAATCATCATTTAGATTGAAATGAATGGTAACTAATAGATGGCGACTTATTGATTGGACTTCGAGTTTTTGTTGAAGCTTTGAAAATGCTCAGAACTTTTCAGAATTCAGAATAATCTGTTTATCCAGGGTAATAATAGATGTCATCCCAATGTTCAGCAAGATTGACTGAATAAGATGAAACTTTTTGCTCATAATCACCAAGAAATATAATCAAATGGTGTAAACTAATATCTCCAGCACTGAGTTAGTTTATTATTATCATCAGTTGAATTATGATCAACAAAGTGAATCATTAATATTATTTTTTTTTCTTAACCACCATGAAAATGTAACTATCATCATGATTAAATCAGACAATTAACTTTAACTCTATTCAATAAAAAGGTATACATAAAATTGATTTGGACGAGGAAAGGAAAGTTCTGTCTCTGAATGAAGTAATAATCAGAATCGATAATAGATTTTTTTTAATACCATGATTAAGTTGATCTGTTTCCATGATGATTAATGATTGTTGATGATAATCAAAGATTGTACAATTTAGTTAACAATTGAAATCAACTTTTAATCAACTAACAAACGAAGTGAATAACAAAATAAGTTTGATTGTGTCTCTCAAATTGTTACAATTTGAAAACTTAATCATCAACCAGATGGATGAATCAGATTCATTATCTTCATTATTATCATCATCATCATCTTCATCTTCATCTTCATCATCACCATCAACTTCCTCATATTCATCATCATATGGATCTTCCGTCAACGAGAATGTTCATAATTTCAGTGAATTCAGGAACTCATATCTCGATGAGAACTCAACATTTTCGGATTACCATGAATATGTAATTTTCTTCAATTTCAAGGAACTTTATGCTCCAATTCATGGTTATCTCTCACTTATCGTTTGCCTTTTCGGTCTTGTCGCCAATGTGCTTAACATAATTGTCCTTACAAGGTAAGTTTTTCCAATTCGAAACTAAACTTTGAACCAAAATTTAATTCAACGAAACGATCAAATCATCAGAGAGATGAAATCTTACTCTGAATTGATAGTTACACCATCATCATCAGAATTCACCTGATGTAATCAGGGTTTCTCTCCATGTTGTTGAAGTCTGGAAACTCATTGTTACCATGTAATGGTCACTCATGGTGGTTAATTAGTAGGACGATGAGTTATTATTTGGTATTCAAATATTTACCTGAATATTTGTTTGTACATTAGTTTTTTGTGTATTCTTTGTTTTAATCACCATAATCCTGGTATTCTGATAACATGATAACCTGGATTTCAGAATAAATATTTACCTATGAAAATATAAAAGAGAAAAAAAAATTTTGGTAAAAAATTTTTCCATCTCTCAATCGCTTTCGCAACAACTTGTAACTCAATTTGAGAATCATGTTAATATAAATTCAGTTCTGGTTCTGACAAAGGGAACTCTGAATCAATCTTATATATATAAGATTATCTTTCATGATGTGATAGTTGGTAACTAATCATTGGCAAATTAATGCTTATTTGTTTGAAAACAAAGTTGAGTTGAGTTGAATTTATATCTACAGGGTATTCACTTGGTAGAAACTTATCAATAATCATCAGTAAGTTTAAGATTAGAACAAGAAACTCGGAAGACTTGGAATTCTCATTGGTGAAATTTCACTCCCAGTGAGTTTAAATTAACTTGATCAATCTGAATTAGAAACAATTTGAATTGAATCACAATCAGTAAACTAAATTCGGGAGACAAAATCAGAGAGTAAAAAAATCGAGTAGGAGTTAATCAATATACATGAAACGATTCAGGTTTCAGATTTTCAGATTCAAGGATAAGAAGAAGAAAAAAACTGAATCAAATTAACTTAAATCATTGGATTCTAATCAACTTATCACTGATAACTGGATTAAATCAAATTAATCTTAGATGAAAAAAAAAGTTTTCAATCCAGTCAGATGAACAACTAAACAAAAACAAAAACAAAAACAAAAAGTTCAGTCAATATAATAACCTCATTATCTGATCATGAATTAACTCCAACTAATATCATCATTAGCATAATCATTTTATCAATATCGACTCAGAATTTTGAGTCAAAATTTTCATGGGTAGATTCAGATTTCATGATGATAATCAGGAAATGTGAGATTTTGAATGAAAAAAAGGTGACAAACTTTTCCACCCATTTTTTGAGTGTTTTCATCATTAAACTCCCAAGCTCAGTTCTTATTGATGAATTTATCAGGATAAAATTCAGTTGGCAAAAAATCAGAATAAAAACAAAAGCGAAAAAAAAACTTTTTCAAAATGAACAAAAGTTCTGAACCAATGTTATCGTAAGAAATTAGGATGAGAGGAAAAACTTTTCTCTCTCTCTCTCTATGAACTTTTTTCCCCTCATGGAGTGTAAATAACAAGACACATAATCCAAAGATAGACAATTAAGATAATCAAAGTAATTAATCAATAGTTATAGTTAATTAGGTTGATTAATTAGATTCACACATAATGAAGCTGATGAAAAACTCAATGTAAACAATACTGAATGAATTCATAATCTACCATGAATATTTCAGGGTAACTTTTAATTAACGATTAGATAAACAAGAAAAAAAATTTATTATGATTAAATATCAAAATCGTTGAAAGTTTTCATTAGATTTCAATGTAATTTCACATGATGATATTGATCAATCATCAGATTGATTGATTGGAAACTGATTAACACGAAAATCAATTATGATTAATGTTGATAACAACAATAATCAAATGATATTTACATGTGAATATATGGATTTCATGGTGATGATGAAAATTGAACAGATTATCCTGATGACGTGAATTGGAAATAATAATAAAAAGATAAACAAAAGTGATGAGGTTTATATTTTTCCCCTTCCCTTAGCAATTGTAATATTCAGATTCCTGTTCATGAAGTATCACCATCATGAAGATGTGACTCAGATCAATTCAGATCAATTGATTCATTCAATTCTGTCAACCACAAGAGTGAGATCATGAACATTTATGTCCATACATATATGTTGAGTCTCACCTTAGTCAATTAGCATCATCATTATCATCATCTTCATCCTTGACCACTCATCATCATGATGACCAACATGATTATATAGATTCTCCCATGAAGTTCAATTGAGATTAAAGTTCCAGCTCATTTAAGATGAAGGTTAAAATCACCTTTAGGTATAACAATAAAATTCTGATCCTTCATGAAACCTGTTGAACTGAACTGCTTCAAATTTAATTTTGAACAATCAGATTTACTAATTGTTATCACAGATAATTAAATTGTACCACTAATGATTGTTAAATAATAATAATACAATGAATAGATTGAAATTTAATTGTAACATTAGTTTCCATCAAAATCCTGATGATTATAAAGGCAAATAAAATGCTCCAAGGGTGGAAAATATTAGTTGCTGGTGGAAAAGCTGAATTTCATGTAATTCTTATACCTTCAGGGTGATAAAAGGAAGCAAATGAGATTGAAATTGAATATAATTGTTGGTTGAAAGTGAAAATAATTCATCTACATGGTCGTTCATGTTTTGTGATTAACATTTTACTCGTTATTATTTAGTTGATTGAATGAATTTTACATGATGATGATCAGTCTGTTCATCACGATTATCATGTTGAATTGTCAATGTAAACACTATAACCAGAACTTTTTCTCCCCTTCTAATGGCATTTACTATTCAATGTTAAGGTGTTCAGCTATCATGAATAATATTATTTACTATTCCTCGAATTCCCTGAACTTTTTTTTCAGGCTGATAACATATTTCCGAGGTTGATTCTGAGTCTCCCGTTGTATTTGATTCAACTCACGATACTCATTCACCCTGTTCATCGCCAATTCAATATATATTCATGGTACAAATTCAGTATACTTGGATTGAGATCTAATGATAAACATCAATAAACATTGAAACAATAACAAAAATTTGATAAATTTGTTTATCTAAGACTCATTTACTTCCGTATCCTGTTTCCGTATAATCCTAAGCTTTTTTTCACCGCCGATTGCAATAATTATCATTACGACCTATTATCTACATCCTTGTTTGCAATTAAGTGTTTATCAGTGAATCAGATGATGATCATGATGATTAACATCCTGATGAAAAAGGCAAAAAACCTCAGAGATAATGAATGACGAGGATGAAGAAACTTTCATATTAACCAATTACTAATTCACTCTGATAGTTTAATTTACCTTAATCAAGTTATCTAGTGTTGATTATCATCTTTGAATATCATCATGGTAATCACTCTCTCTCTCTCTCTCTCTCTCTCTCTCTCATCATCATCATCATCACTGTTGATCTTTTACTTCCTGATGAGTTGTTTTAACCTCATTGAATCCATAGGCTCAAGATTTTAGGAATTAAGAATTTTGGAAACGGAAGTTTGATTAATGATTAGATTGTCCATTGATAATTGGGTTGATTATCATGTTTTCATGCTTTAATCATTTAGGTTGATTCAGTTAATTAAGAGTAAACAAAAAATTGGTTAGAGTCTCGTTAACTTTATAACGTTGTCACAATCAGAGTACACATAAAGTATTAATAGTATAACCGAAACCAAATTTAACTCGTTAATTGCATCAAATTAACGAAAGGCTTCAATTAGAGCTGATTGTTTATGATTAACATTAACGGTTACATTATCCTCATTCACTCAACATTCACATGGTAGTAAAAAAAAGTTCAGAACTTTTTTACCTCCAACTCGAATCACCATGTTAACCACCCTGAATGTTTATGTTACTTTTTTTAGATTCACATTTGATTCCAACTTATACTTTATAACTTGTTTACCAATTCAAATTGTTGACTTTTTAATTACAATTAACAACTTTTACAAGCAATAAATTTACATAATTTAACAATCTAAATGTAGAAATAGCAACTTAGAACCGATTAGAAGATGTTTCTTCTTAGAACTTTTTTAGTAATCGAAATTTTCAACTTGCGTGGTAAAAGATCATTGGACAGTTTCGATGTGAATGATTAGAACTTTTTTTTCCATAGTAAAATGAAAATTGTAACAATAGAGAGAAAAGAAAAACAATCAGTCGAATTAGTTTTTTTTTTGTTTCTTTCGAAAAGATTTTGTTCTATTTTTTTTTGTTTTCGACAAAAATTCTAAATCTTTTCAGTCTTGATCTCATGATTCGATTCCCTTGATGTTATCATTGAATTATCATTAGTGATATTTCAATATAATGACTTTTTCCACTATTCATTTTGATCTAATTATATTTGGTTATATATCACTACTCATTGTTTATTCAGTATCACATGGAATGAGACAGAAAAAAAACTGAATCATTTCATTATCATGGAATATTTTTTATTATCATTTTTATCACAATGAACTTGAAAAATTTTGCTTGTTAAAAGTTTACACTTTAAACAGATTTATGTACATATAAACATAACATGTAAGTAAATTTAATTTCATCTAAATAATAGACCAAAGTAATTCAATGAATTCATCATGCTCGTTGAAACCTCAGCACCTGATATATATAAATATAAATTCATTAAACTTTACACAGGTAGGAGGTAAATGTGAGCTCGGTGAAAACAAAAAAAATCCTCCCCTGGGAGTGAAAAGGGTTATGGGTTTTATTTTGTTATGTAGTTTTTTTTTGTATTATTCAATTTTGGAATTGAAAATAAATATATATTTGCATGAGAATTGATTAATAAGGTGAGGAGGGAGATTGAGAGAGTGAGTGAGATGAGCAGGATTCAGGGTGGAAAATTGAAAGGGTGTGGAGAATAGAATGAAGAAAAGATTGGAACTTTTCTTCCTCTATGTATTCTCATTACTTTCATTAGCTTTATTGTATCACAACATAATTTATATTCTTTACGAATTGTTATGAATAGTTGACAGAACTTTTTGCCGAACAGTT